TGTGATAAAACAGTATTCTGAAAATTATAGTGATTTTGTGTTGTGAAGGATGCAAACAGGATGAAACTCCGACCATCTCAACGCATGCAATGGCGATGCTTAGTCTTAACAACGTTGAGAATGTGGCAAAGCTTAGCGAGGGAATATGGTAGCCAAGATTGGTAATCTTGATACCTGTATAAGATACTTTGGATACGTTAGCCGTTGGGGTGCAGACGTTCAACAACGGCTATCATCTGATGGACAAACAGACGACTTTCGACTCTCCCTCTCATCCGGAATTCAACACAAAACGTCATCACTGAAATTTGCGAAACAAATAGATCTGAAAGATGTTGCATCTCACCGGTGAGCAGGCGAGTTCAACAACCGGAGTTGTCTACGTCTCTCTGCTCGATGCAATTATACAAGGGTTAGGGTGGTTGTGCAAAGGTGTTACCACCCTTGCACTCAAAAGCGATTGCTCTCGAAAGGTTCACAAGACTGTGCCTTTGTGAAGTAATCAGCATCTTGGAGCGATGTGTCCAGCTCGTGGATGGCAACAGTTTCTGGGCCAACACCATCTTTGGTGACGTGTTGCCAGAACCAGTGCCACTTGTTGAGATACCAGCGGGTGCGAGATGTGATTCTTTGATTGGTGGCCAGAAAATATGGTCCTTGGTTGTCTTCAATTGCTGAGGCCCGAATGGTGGCGCGGATGCCGTTGTCAAGTTCAACGTGGTCGGTGGCTTCAATGAGAAGGCGCTTCAATGGAATTAAGGTCTTTAGAGCAGAAGAGAGAGCATTGTATTCGGCCTCGAGCGTGGAGCAAGTGATGGATGTTTGTAACTGGGAGCGCCAAATCAGCGGGCAATTGCTCAACTTTACAATAAACCCGGTGCGTGATCAAACGGAGTTTGGATCAGTGTGAGGCTCTGTATTATAGAGTCCACAGAAGTCGGCATCGACAAACAAATCAAGGTTTAGTTTTCCTGTAGGCTTGATGATCATGCCTTTTGTGCGAGTGCGTTTCAGGTAACGAAGAATTGTTTTCACGGCAGTTGCATGGGATTGCTTTGGATCAGAGGAGAATCGTGCCACTTGGCTGACAGCAAAGGTAATGTCTGGTCGTGTTTTTGTCGAGAGGTACATTAACATTCCGACAATTGATCGATAGTTCCATTCTTCGTTCATAGGTTCACCATCAGGATCTTTGCCAAGGGGACCAGTAGCGGGGATTCGATTGGGATTGCAATCGGTCATTCCGGCTGCTTCCAAAACTTTGTCAATCA